CAGCCCAAATGATGTTCAATTAAGGCACAGAGCGTCAGAGGCAGCCCAAATCCCGTTGAATTAAGGCACAGAGCTTCAGAGTTAACTTAAATCCTTATCTTGTAGAAGGTCTGCTGGTGGTGGCTTCAGAAGGACCTTTCCTAGCGTGATCTTCTTGGCTCTCAACTGCTTTTCTCTGTGGCTGTTAATTCACTCCTCGGTGTGTGTGACTGCCCTGATGCCGTGGGGATGCAGGAGGCGCAGACGCGGCTCTGTGTGCAGAGGCACTGGCTGTCGGTGCGGCCGAAGCACTGCTTGCACCTGACAACAAGGTTCCATAGCTGCCTTGGGAGCAGCGACAGCAAGCGGAGCGGTGCTGGAAGGATTTGCTGCAGCAGGGCTCACAGGGCCCGGAAGCCCTGAAGTCCACAGCCACCGGCTGTTCCAGGAGCATTAAGTGAGGCTGCGGATGGAGCTGCAGAATCCCCAGTGCCAACGGGATGGGGACGGCTGTGGAAGGACGTCGCCCCGAGGGCAGGAGGACTGGAGGCAGCAGCAGAGCTCCCCACAGCTGGAGCGCTTCCAGATGAGACGCTGGGATTTGCAAGGACAAGCGGACAGCACCGCTGCTGCTGTTGGCTGGAGAGTCTGCAGTGAGGAAGTGGATAGGAAGGCTCAGGATGTGAGCACCTGCCATAATGAAACAATGCTGCATTTCAGTGCTGCAGAAGAACGCTGATCAACGCCTGTTTAATCGCTGGTTCCTTATGCAGAAACTTGCTTGGGAACTCAGTGCTTGGGGCTTGCCGTCCTCCCAGTCCAAGAGAAGGTAATGGTGGAGTGACCACTTTCTCTCTCCAAAGTAGCTGAAAAAGTTCCAAATACATCCATGAAAACTACATTCCAGCACAGGCAAGCATCTTTCAATCCACATTTAAAGCAAAAACCCACGTGTGCCGTCCAACTGAATGTAACTGAGAAACTGAACCAAACACTGGCCACAAGCAGTGGCAGCTTTAAACAAAATGCTCTCAGGCTGCTGTCTGCAAACACCCTAGAAGCAGGAATCTGCTGACTGACGGGCACAAAGTAATTGCCATCACCAAAACTCCTGGAGCTCTCATTCTCCTCTCCCTTGCTCTAGTTTGTTCCATGGCTCTATCTGTATCACTGCTCTGGCTCAGTCTGCTCTCTGAGCGCAGAACAGTCATCTGTGCTGAAGTCTGAACGCTGAGCTCCGCCTAAATGGGAATCCTAAGAAAAACCTTCACTCAAGGTTTAAGAGAAAAGCAGCATCAGGAACAGAAGTATTTTACCTTTCCTTAACACTTACCGTTGATGCTGTTCTCCAGGCATTTAAAGCCTTCAGCTCCTGCAGCCTGTTTCTCCATTGTTGCGTATACAGATTGACAGCATTTATCTAAATGTGGGAAAACACAAATGTGCTTTTGTTAAGCATGGCTTTTGGTTTTTTTCTTATTTGGGTCTTTTTTTTCCTCTTTTTTTTTTTTTTTTTTTTTTTTTTCCTCCCCCCTTCTTTAAAAGGGGGAACAAGAGTGATCTGACCTACTGCAAGGAAGTTTCAGACTGGACAATTCAGGTCTTGCCCCACTTTATGAGCAGAAACTCCTGCTTTGGATAATATGTTTTGTACCTGCATCATTGGTGAGGCCTGTGCCACACAGTTATCAGGAAGAGGCAGGGAGAATCATAAACCTGTTTGAGTCAGGAGGGACCTTTAAAGCCATCTGACCCAACTCCCCTGCAGTGAACAGGGACACCTATGGCCACATCAGGTTGCTCAGTGATGGCAAAGCCTTCAGGCCAGCAGCTCCTGCTGTTTTCTACTCGCTGCACAGAAAAGTGAACGTATGAGGGCATTCTTACTTTTCCCTCCAGTTTGGTATTCACTGAGTAAAGAGCGGCCACCTGAAGCACAGGAACCACTGCTACCCTGAACGCGTCCACAGAAAGCTCAGTTGTTCCAAATACTTACATAGTATCCTGTGCTCTCCTTTGCACTGCAGTTATAATAGGCCAGGCGCAGCTCCTCAGAGGAGATCTCTGGAAAGCCTGCAGGGAGGCAAACAATCAGCATGCTCCAAAGGGAATGCAACACAAATACAAAATTGCCCCCTAGAGTTACACAAGAAACTGCCCTTGCTGCACCGCCTGGGACCAGTCAGTTCTACTTGGAGACACAGAAAGGACTCCTGGTGCAACTTCAGGGGTGCGAACACACCAAAGAAATACCGTAATCCAGTGCCCCTACCTGTTGCATCACAAGGCACATCCTCACCTTGCAATGCTTCCATTGAGGCACAGTAGCGTGGACAAGTATAGATATGCAGTCTGAACAGTAGCAGCACTCAGCGAGGCTGTATAATCAATGGATATCAAGATGTTACAATCACAAAATAAACAAGAGATTAGGCGAAGTGGACTATGATAACAAAAGAGAATAAATGGAAGGCTTAGCCTTATGCTGGGCTCACCACAAAACACCAGAAGAGGCAATCTCCAGAAGAGATCCTTCCCTACTGGCAGCCAGCTCTTCAATAGGTCTAGGAGGGGTGCAGCCTGGCTCCACCCCTTCCAGCAGCACAGGTGAATTGCCTTCAGCTGTGCTCCTCTGGCTGACTCATGGCTCACCTCAGGTGATCAATCAGAGGTTCAGGCCGTGACTCAGCAGTTCCCATACAAAGGCTAAAAAACGGTACTGACCTGAAACATTAGGCTTGCCCTTCTCCTGTGAGTAACACGAAAGCATCCACTGTCCAGAAGATTCCCAGGCTGCTATGCCTTCTGCTGTCCAGTCACTAGAAAACAGAACATGACAGCAAAAGAAGAAATTACACAGTCAGAAGCTAAATGGCAAAAAGCAAAGTCAAACTCAAATAGCCAGAGCCGTGCCAATTAATTCCATAGGACGCTGCTCAGAGGGAACAGCTGAAGAATGCTACAACCACCTTGAAAGACACACAGTTGCTCTGCTGGACACACAGATGTCTGACAAAGCGTTTTACTGTATCATCAAACTGCAAGTAAATCACATCAGGTCTGTAAGAGAGACAAAACCCCCGTGCTTCCTATGGTTCCCCCCCACATCCCAGCTTCCATCCCCTGGAACGCATCCTCTCCATTATCCAGAGGAAGCCGGTAAGCACTTCAGCAGCTCATTGCGAGTGCTTCCCAGGGGACAGGGTCATCACTTACAGAAGTCTCTGCTGCTCATCTCGATGGCCATCACCTGGGTCTGCACTGCTTAACGCAGAGCTCTCTTTCTGCGAGGACACCGCACCTTTCTTGCCTGCTGCTCCAACCATGGAGGCACCAGAGCGTCCTCCTCCATCGCGGCTGCCACCCGAGGAGCTCTTTGTAAGCACAGGAGGCTGCACAACGGCTGCAGGAGCGCCCCGTCCTTCTGGAACTTCTCCTCTGCGCAGGAGCACGACTCGCTGGAGAAGGTTGATGGTTCTCCGGGGAACACGTCTTCCTCCATCGCCTCCCGTGTGCTGGATCACGGGTGGCTGGTTAAGATCTGTGTTTCCCTGGGTAGCATCACCCGATCCGTCTACAGCTCCTTCCATGTGCTGGATCACAGGTAGCTGGCTAAGGTTTCTAAGGTTTGTCTGACTAATGTCTCCCCATCCTCCTACAGCTTGTCTCTTGTACTTGAACACAGCTTCTCTCTTGTATTCAAACATGGCTCCTCTCTTGTACTTGAACATGGCTGCCCGCATAATGTATCTGTTTCTCAGGGTGGCAGCACCCCATCCTCCTACAGCTGCTCCCATTTGCTGCATCATGGAGGGCTGGCTAAGTAAGGTGGTAGTCTGGGTGCTGGTACCCCATGGTCCTGCAGTTCCTGTCAGTTGCTGGAGCATTAGGAGCTGGCTGAGGAGTAAGCCTATCTGGTTTGTGGTACCCCATCTTCCTCCACGTCCTGGACGGACGCTTAAAGGAGGTGGAAGCTCTGCAGCTCTGACAGATGGCCCAGGAAACCTTACTGTCATCAAAGCTGTGGTAATGTGCATCAACAGAAGTGGAATAGACAAAGGAAATGTGCTGTTACAGAGAGGCAGCTTTGGTTGATGCTGTATCTGTGAGTATCCTGTACAGTGCTTTTGTAGCTGTGTTACCGAGACCAGAAGTCTTTTTTCCTACCTAAACTCATAAATGAATTTGAATTTGATTACACACTGAAGGAGGAATTTGTGGTTTTTTTTTTTTAAACAGCAGTATTAAAAATACACAGAGTTTGTATAATAGCAATCATCACTGAGATAGTGGGATAAATAGTTAGAATAAATAATAAATAAATAGTATAACAGTTGATCCTGTGTTGCTTTTTGTTCTATATGTACAGGATGTTTTTCAAATGAAGATTGGTGTCTGATAGATTCCAGCAATGTCTGTTCCTTCTGTTCCTTTCTTTATTCAGACACTTAATCGCTCTCAATCTGTCAGGCTTCCCCTGCCTCATTTCTGATCTTCGCCTCAGTGAGCAGCTTTCTACCTCAGAGTCTTTTGTAGGTATGCCTTGAATGCATTTGGTTGCTCTTGTGAGTTGCACTGCTTCTTGTGCATGCACGCAAATTACGACCAGATACCAGAATTCAGAACTGCTCACCCCAGTGCTGGAGGTTCTGTGCCTGACAAAGTCTCAAACATCCTGCTTTTCTTCTTACCATACCACACAGTGGTACAATGAATTTGCAGGATTAGTGCCTCCCGGTCTATGCGTGTATATTGAAGAAAAAATGGCTGGAACAGAGATGCAGTTTGGTTTATCCTTGGGGTTTATTCCAAGGCTGCGTGCTCTGAAATGCTGCTGTGGTTTGAATGTTGGAAGTGGTCGTGACTTTTCTGCTGGCATCAGTTCCTTCCCATGGAATAACTGCAGCTGACTGCAGCGTTGGTTTTGTTGTTCCATCCCCACAACAGATATTCTGAGAGTCTGTTTTTCTGTTCCTATTATTAGTATTACTGCATTATTAGGATGGTGGCTCATTGAGGTACGTACATTGCTCTGAAAGAAATGCCTCCTATTTATTTCCACAGAAATGACAACGGATACAAGGAGTGAATTCTCAGCTACAAAACTCTGTTTTTCAACATGGTCACCACCATTAGCTCTGCTTTTTTTCCAGCGTTGAACAAGAGCCTGCATGCTGTGCTTGTTCAAAAAGCAGAAAAAAAAAAAATCAAATCTGGCTGTTTGAGTGGCTTGTCTTTTGCATTGCTGTTGCCACTGCTGAAGCCTCACTGTGCTCACATCCACGTGTTGGGCTTCATAAATGTTCTGCAGGCATTGATGGATGTCAGTGGGTGCGATTTTTTCAGTGTGGAGGAGTTCAGTGACGCCCCTGTGCTCTGTGTGCCAGGTGCTGTGCTGTCATTCTGGTCCTCTGCTGCCATCTGTGGCATGGCTGCAAAATGTAACTGAGTGCTGGCAGGAAGGTTCAGCCTCTGCTGTTATCCCACCAGCGTCCACCTGTGATGTTGTGGGCCGGCATTATAAAACAGGAGGCATTACTTTTGGATCAGCCCGTGTGCAATTATGAAAAATTAAGGTTTATAATGGCTGGCCGAGTAAATTGGTGGCTGCTAAAGAGATCCACCACTCTAAAATAACAGTAGTTAGACACTGATAGCTGTCAAGGCCAATTTCAATACTGTGGCTGTGTTGGGTTATTTATTTATTTGAAGTTATCTTTCACTGTCGGATTTCCTGAACACGCTCCAGGTGTGCCATTCCAGGCTTGATTTTGAACTTGCAAACTCTAGTATTCTGGAGCAACTCCATCCTGTGAGCGGATTTGTTTTCATGCTCCATTGTAAAACTGCTGTTAAGAACTGGTATTGCAAGAAATGATTTTGAGGTCCCTTCCAACCCAGGCCATTCTGTGATCCTGTGACTAGGAAAGGCGTTACAACAGAGGTGTGATGATGGAAGGACTGGCACCATAGAGAGGTACTATAAAGGAAGGGGAGATTGCTCACCCATATCAGAAGATTCCAGGTTCACAGGAAGAAGCATCACCAAGGAGGGATTTCCAGACAGAGATCCTTCCCCAGCTGCGGTCAGCCCTTACATGAGGTCTAAGGGAGGTGCAGCCAGGCTCCATCCCTTCCATCACACAGCAGAATTGCATTCACCTGTTGCTTCCAGGGCTGAGCAGCTCCTTTCTGCAGGTGCTGAACCAGTGGTTCAGGATGGGACTCAACAGATCCCATGCATACGTGTAAGATTTCAGGTTTTTTTGTTTTCTCGGAAGATTGAAAAGCAGGAAAGTTCTCTGCCCTTTGTTCCTGCCTCCACCTGCCCTCAGCGTGCAGCCAGGAGAGGAAGGGCACTCAGGAGCACAACGGGAGCCCCTTGTATCTCCTCAGCTCCTGACTTCCAGCTCTGCAGAGACGTTTCTTATCTCAGTGACAGCTGCGGCCTCCACAGCCCCTCAACCCGGCCCCAAAGGCCCACCGCCCCTCTCTCCCCCCACGCACACAGCTGGGCCCGCTGGGCACAGGCGCTGCCCCAACAGCGGATTCGTCACCCAGCCGGCAATAAGTCTGTCGCACCGCGTGTTCATTTGGAGAGTGCCGGCCCGGGCGCTCAGTGGGTTCCATAGCAGGAAGAAATGTTTCCTGGCACGCGCTGCCCCGAGGAGCGGCGCACACTGACGTGTGGAATCAGACTCTATGACCACAGAGTATTACAAAAGCAGGTACGTTCAATCAGGGCTGCAATGCTGGGTGCAAGGGGGAGAGCTGCTCCTAAGTCGCACAGCGTCAGGAAAAAGCGTGCTCCAGGTAGAGGCCGAAGTAACACGTGATCAGGAGTTCCCAGGAATTCAGATCACATTCATTCCATTCCAAACCCATCAGCACGCGGCCCCCCCTCGTGCAGTGAGTGGTGAGGGTCTCCTCCTGGCGGCCGTGGGCTGAAGAATCCTCATCTTCCTCGCGAAGGCTCGCAGTCTTTCTCCCTGTTAACTTCTGACCCTGCGGAAGGGGCAGCCCTCCCCCAGCCCTGTTTCAGCTCGCCCTGCGGCCATCGCATCGCCTCGCTGCCCGGCGTCCTCAGGCCGTTCTCAAACCCTTCTCTTTACGGCCTTCATCCCCTCGTTATCCCAGACCCAGTGCCTGCCATCCCTTATTTTTCTAACATTCTCGTTTCTACAAACTTTCTCTACCCTCCCCCCCCCCCCAATCCTTAATCCCTGTGAAGCCTTTTCCTCACGTTTTTACTACAGGGCCCTTCTCACCCTTCAGCCA